AAATATATGTTACGTGATCTGCATGTTCAAATGATTATCAGTTGTGGTAATCAGTTATAAAAGCATATGAAATATGAAACACACATTTGAAAACATGTTTTGAGTACAAGAATTCCCTTGTACTTTGCTTGTGTTCCCCCTGAAAACAGTGAAAAAGGGTAGGGGTATGAACTCACCGGACTCGGAAATACGTCGGTTTTGGATACTAGACGTTGGTTCAGGGTTTGATTACTCGCGATGTCCCTATGTAAAAATGAAATAATGTCCATATATATACAATTAGGGATACATTTACTAATCATATGGAACATTACACTCCAATGAGGTTAAACACCTCAAAACGAGCGTTTGGAGTGACCCGGGTGACATCTTCGGACGTGTAATGTCACTAGGGACTTGGGACTTGAGTTTACTCCCCAAGAGTAAACATTTTAAGGAGTTTACAGCCATAAAACACACACATACATGAGTTTACGGCCGTAAACTCATGTTGGTGTAGTTTTGAGTGTTTAAATGGCTTAAATGGACATGGGGATTGTTGGAATGGATTTCTAAAATGCCTTGGAATTTTTATTTTAAATGAAATTTTAACACTAAAAAGAGAGTTTACGGCCACACCATAAGATTTTACGGCCGTAAACTCACCCATGGCCAAGAAAAATTGATTTGAGCTACAAAGGACAATCACATGTGATTCTAGTTAATTTTCCAAGCCTTGTTATGAATTTAGAACATCATTTATCATACTTTTAGGAGTTTACGGCCTAGAGGCATGTTCTAAGGCCGTAAACTCTTCTATACTCATGAAAAGTTAGTTTTTGATGCTTAAAAACAATCACATGTGATTCTAGAAATTTATGCAAGCCTTAAAAGTGTATTTGATGCATCATTAACAAGGTTTTATGAGTTTACAGTCAAGGGTATGTTCCTAGGCCGTAAACTCCTATAAATGACATTTTTGATGTGTTTAAAACCCTTAAAATATTTTTAGATGCATCTAGATTTTACCACAAGGCCATTGGTTGAGTTTCAAGGCATTTGGACATATTTTAAGGCATTAAATCCCCATTTAAGTGGAGTTTACGGCCCAAGAATGTGCCTTGGCCGTAAACTCACTTTTGTCCCCCAAAAATCATGTTTAAAGTGTTCCAAGTCTAGATTAGCAAGCCTTAAGGTCATATCTAAGTCCCAACTATGATTTGGAAGGGTTTAAGTTCATGAAAACCCCATTAACATGAGTTTACGGCCCAAGCATATGCCTTGGCCGTAAACTCCTTCAAATGGCTCAAAATCAATGCTTTAAATGTTATAAGTCCTTTCCATGAAGTCATTAAGCCATATCTAATGTCCAATATTGCTTAGGAGGGGTTTTAGGGCTTAAAAACCCATGTTATATGAGTTTACGGCCCATGAAGGTTCCATGGCCGTAAACTCATGAATGTGGTCTTAATCCATGTTTTGAACTCGAATTTAAAGGCTAAGAAGGTTACAATACAAGCTAGGGAAAGTACCTTAGAGATTTGAGGCCTTAAATTTGAGTTTTGGACCCTTAAACTTGGATTTAGGAGAGAGGTTAGAGAGAGAGAGTAGAGAGAGAAAGAAAAAAGCTTCAAATGGAGGCTTAAACACGTTTATATAGGTCCTAAAACCTGAACACGGTGGAATTCTACCCGATACCGGCGTTAGACGAGGCTTTTGGTCGTACCCGATTGAGTTGCCGTAACCCGATACGGTAAATTCTAGAAATATTCCGATCACTAAAATTGGGTGTTAAAATGATTTCTAAATGTATTAAGACACCCAATAAGTTATTTTAAATACGCACAAGTTAATGACTTCATTAAACGGAAGATCGGAAATCGAATTTGGAAACGACGATTGGTTGCGCAAATTGTATTACGAAAGAGTTACAAGAAATGATACGGAAATTTTGGGTTGTTACACTACCTAAAATAGTTAGTGTAACATACCAAAATTTACTCTAAAAAATTTTATTTTGAAAAATATCAAAAGCATCATTCATTGATTACAAAATCCATCAAGTGATAATATGTAAAATAGTCATCAAACTACAAATCATGTTATAAAATGTGGAATACTGGTGGATGCGGTGCAATTATGCCAAACCATTTCTTTCGAACTAGAAGTACCTGATACCATAAATATAAAACTGTAAGCATAAAGCTTACTGAGTCTCCCCAAAATACCCCATACAGAAACATACATAATAGTCAGAAACTAAGCTAGGTCTATTTCATCTTTGAGTCTATTTCAATTCATTCAGTATCTTTCAACCGATATTGGGTCTATTTCACCCATGAGCCTATTTCAACTCCTTCGGTATCGTTCAAATGGTACTGGGTCTATTTCACCCATGAGTCTATTTCAATTCCTTCAGTATCTTTCAACCGGTACTGGGTCTGATTTACCCCTACAACTAAGCATACATCAACATTAGCAAGATTCAAAAGACAACAAGCACATACAAGCATATAAACAAGTGTCACAAGGACAATTATCATTCTACAAACATAATACAGTGGGCTAACATTGGTGCCTTCGACCTAAGAGTACATTGAAGAGACTCACCTATCAAACGATGATCAACTGCTAACGCTCCTAATACTGCAAAAATAGTTGCTATATACCACCAAGAGAACGATACAAGGTAAATCCTTAGCTTACCTTCTAAAACTAGGAGTTTGAAAAAAAGTCAATGCAAGTCAAAAGTCAATGGTCAAAGTTAAAGGTCAAAGTTGACTCGCCAAGACATGGCCATCTTTGGCCACGTTGTGGTCCTCAAATGACAAAACAGACACAACTTCTTTCAGTCGCCATACGGCATGGTCATTGGGTTCAAAACATCTAAATAGGTTAGGCTGCTTCCTTTGCCCCTAAGAGCTCTAACGCTCAGATCTATTCTGAAATATGGTCTCGAAGGATATAGTTTCCAACTTTATCCATTATTTCCACCAAAAAGAACAAAATCTCAAACCCTAGGTTCCACAACGCTAAAAATGGAAAGGACTCAAACATTAAGCACTTAATCTCGAAGGTCCTTAGTTCAACTTCTCTAGAATTCCCTAGGACCCCTAATGGTCCACAAAATCCAAACTTCATGGACATGCACGAACCATGCATGTCCTTCTTTAAACTATGTCAAAAGGGGGAATAATATGACCCAAAACCCGAGTATGTTTCACAACTTACCATACAATTGTAGATCTATAAGATACAACATTCAGAGGACATACAAAAACCATAAAGTTGCAAACTTTATCTCTTATAACCACTCAAACCACTCCAAAAGGACCAAAACATGCTCCAAAACCTAGATATATGAAGAAGAACACAAAAAGGTTGATGCTTTGGGACTTACAAGCAGTCCAGAGGATGCACAAAAATGGAGGAAAGGCTTACTTGCTTAACCAATGCACTAACTCTGCTTCTTCTTCCTTCGAAACCACTACTAGTTTACTAAAATGGAACAAGATAATCAATGAGAATTAGGGTTACTGTTTCTGGGGTTTAAGAGTGATGGAGGCTAAAAATGAACAACCATAGCATCCAATTTTCCTTTAAATACCTAGAAAATTAGGGTTTAAGACATTAGTGACAACCATATGGTGGACTTTACTTGCCACGTCATGGCGAATCAAAAGAGACATGCGACCAAAAATGTCTCGCCACACCATTGAAGTCCTTCCCCACACCGTGGCGACTCCCAAAATCAAATTTTAATTAAAATAAAATATACCTCAAAATCCAAATATTACAACTCTCTCCCCACTTGAATCATACTTCGTTATTGAAGTTCACTGCTGAAAATAGCTCCGGGTAGTGCTCCTTCATCTCCTCCTCAGGTTCCTAAGTCCACTCTGAGCCTTTCTGGTGCTGTCATTGCACCTTCACCAGGTTCACAACCTTGTTTCTTTGGGCCTTGGTTATTCTGTTAAGGATCACAACTGGTCTTTCTATGAAATTCAGCGGCTCGTCCACCTGAATATACTCTATTGGCACCGCTACAGAATCATCGACCAAACACATCCGCAGTTGAGAAACATGTAAAGTGTTGTGAATTTGACTGAGTTCCTCGGGTATCTCCAAACAATATGCTACCCCACCTAACCAAGTGATAACCATGAAAGGACCAATATATCTGGGACCTATCTTGCCCCACTTTTTGAACCAGATAACACCTTTCCAAGGTGACACCTTCAGGAGTACCATGTCCCCAACCTGAAACTTCAAATCCAATCAGCTCCTATCATCATAACTCTTCTGCCAGAACTATGCGGTCTATAAGGTGTACAACACAACCTTATCATTGTTTCGCAACTGGTTGTAGGGACAGTTTTGAAAGTATCCTATGATGATGAAGGATCTGAAATAATCGAAAAGAAAATGAAAGTAGTTATCCTAAAGTCATAGTGAAAAGGAGAAATGTATCCTTTGAATTTAAAACCGATACAAGGTAAGCCTACCATATGCTTCACTACTAGAAAAACAACCTTTTACGACGCGCAATGCGTGTCGTAAAACGCTCAGACGATGCGCAAATGCGCGTAAAGGAAGGCCCTGCCATAACGAGAGACGACACACTTTTTCGCGTTGTCTATAGACGACGCGCGTTTATGACATGTAATGCGTATCATTAAAACCCTTGTCAAGAAAGGCCATGTAATAAATAGAGATGACACACATTTTTGCGTATCGTAAATTTAAATGTTTAAAAAAATATATTTATATATTTACTAATTTTTAAAATAAATTTGCATTTAATGTCTCATAATAAACATAAAATACCATATACAAAAAAATACAATCCCTTGCATAAAATTTAATGTCATACAATTCTATTTCTTATAATATATAAATTTGCATTCATCTAATCTACTATGTGTTTCATACTAACAATTGAAGTGAAGAATGCAACACTTGTATTTGCAGCGTCTTATCTCTTCCACCTTGAGCTTTCTTTTCCTCTTCGAACTCTAGAGCTATTCGCTTTCATCAACCCTATAAACACAACACAAAATCACTTGTCATTTTTATTCTACTTTTAAAATTAATTCTTATTAGACATTCTACTTTTAAACATACCAATCTAGCAAATTTTTCAAAGAATATAATTTATAATTTTTTTTATGGAAAGTACATTGCTATTTCTTGAATACACGATGTTACAAATCAAGAAACTTACATGGACGGCTGAGCACCAGTTACCTTTAAGTAACGATTAACATTTAACAAAAAAAACAAAAGGCCAACCCACTGCCTTTTCCTCATTCCAACTAAGCATTAGTGTCTTACCAAAAAAAATTCTTTAATCTTTACCTATTCATTTATCCTAATTCTATTTCTAAAAATGCGAAGGGAACCATCTTTATATGCTCCTGAGCAAGTAACAACTTGCCCTTGACCTTATCTATCTAAGTCAACCACACAAAAGTCAACAATTGGACCTAAGTTGTCATACCTTTCTAGAACTTCCACATAAGAGCCTTTTGCATCAGGTTGGAGATTCAACTTAATAAGCTGCAATATGTAAAAAAAAAAAATGTTAAATTACATTAGCATTTGACATTATAGATGTTGATATGATACTTTTATGTGATGAAAGTTTTTACACCTTCAACATATAGGAAAATAGTTTTTATAGAAGTTGCACCTCAAACTCCCCTAAACTTGACAAAGGAGACACCAATTGCAATTTTTCAGGCTCAATACACACACCAATCTCCCAACTGAAAGCATTTTGTATCTGCCTAAGAAGTAGAGTTAAAAAGGAAAAAATTAAACCGGTGGCTAAAGTTATTCTCCCCTTGATCTATCAAAAAATGCTTCATCTCAAAGAGAATGAAGGGATCTTTCAAGGGTACAAATACTAGGATTTCAGTTCTTGACCAATACCAAGAATGTAGGACTACTTCTACCACTCCTTTGGTATCTAAGACTACTTCTTTGACTCCTAAAAAATATTGAAGAAAAATTCAAACAGTACCAAAAAATCCAAGAAGAACATCATTAGTTTTTTTGGGAAGTGAATTGTCATTAACTCACCAGATAGGGTTTGAGACAGTCAAATCCAAGAAGAATGTCATCCAGTTTTTCTATTAAAAATCAAAATATGAAGTGAGCACCATGGTCAACAGATAAGAGAAGAGAATAATACTGTTCTAAGGATTTTATTTTAGGAATGAACAAGGAGGTGATGGTGCAAATTGATGACCACCAAGGGGTCAGATGGTTTGAGGTGAGCAACATGGTGAACAAATATCCTATCAGCCTCTACTTTTCTAGAGCAATAATAAATGTTAGGGGTATAATCGTAAATAGTTAAAATAATAAAACAAGTATTTACCTCTATAGTGTAGCTGGAGCGTACAAAAATAAGCTTTGAAATCCCATCAGTCACATGCAACTCTTCAGGAGTAGTGATTATGATTATTTATATGAAACAAATATTATGTATCAATGATTATTATTTCATCAATAATTACACAAAAGAAGAAGATTATAAAGCATTAATGTTAGGTTTCATACCACTTTCATAGATATTTACTGGAAGATCCTTTTGTGCATGATTGATCAAAGGGTTCAAAAGAACATACACATGGCTTTCGTTGATATCCATCAACTGTAACAAGATAATCATCATTATCATGTTAAAGAATAATTTATTGAACAAAACCATAAGCCAATTTCACAAAGCAAAGATACTATCAACCAATTTGTGTAACAGAATACAATCAGCAATTTAGATAATAACTAATACCGTGTAAAATCAACTTGAAGAGAAAGAAATTACAAAAAGTTATTTAGTTTTGTATGCAAAATAAGAAAAAATAACTACTTAATAGATTAGCTTTTTACTAACAAATTCACTCCCAAAGTGTTTTGTTAAACATCCTCCTCATAAGGAAAGATCATTGAAAATTTTGAAAATTAAACCTTTAAGCATATACATATGTATCAAATGTAATACTGTTTCACACATTTTGAAGTTAGATTAAGAAAACAGTGCTCCCAGCTTTGTGTATGTGCTTATCTGATTCTTCTGCATCAACGCCTGTAGAATACCATCCAAGGATGTAGAAGTTGGGAAATACTTTCTTATATGTTCCAAAAATAAAACCAGATGTTTATTATTGTAAAGGAAACCATCAACATGTATTACCTTATGAAGAACAAAAAACCCTAACATAAATTAAAGTGTCAGAGAAACCCAAGAAATTGACTGTTGTGTAACTGTGTGAATATGCGTAGAAAGATAATGGTGCAAACTTACAAAGTTCCTGTTTTTTCTCAACGAAGGAACGATCGAGGGAACGGTTAGATGGATCATAGAGAATTTCAAAGCTGTTGAAGATCTCGCTCGGAGTGGAATCGGAGATTGGGGAGTGGAAGAAGAAAGAATCAGAGAAGTTTGAACTGTGGATTGGGTTTTTAGAGTTCAATTTCAGCTCAATTAGCAAAGAGTCCAAAACTATTACACCTCCCAGTACCTCACTCAACAATCGAAACCATAGAAATTCTTGAGTTTCATGTGAACTTTTCTCATGAATGATGTTCAAGTCGCCGGCTCCAAAGCACCATAATCATGCTGAGATCCAGAATCATATACGTGTTGTTTAAAAATCTGTTGCTGAACCCTGAAGAATCGACCTAGGTATTCCCACTGCTGAAGATGAAGATGAAGATGAAGACCCTAGGGCTTTTTCTTGCTAAGTCAAAGAGGCCGGGGGGGGGGGGTTAATATAAAAATTATAAAGAGACACTTTTACATGAAACACATTTTATTAAAGGTGCCCTCCGCATTTTTTTTTCTTTTCTGACACTAATTTTAGGGCACACATAAATGAGTGTCCTTTATCCTTAAAATTTTGGAAAACTCACATTAGTTTTTAGGGCACGCACAAATGCGTGTCCTCTATCATTGTGTGTCATTGTTTGCGCATCATTAAAGGGCTATTTTCCAGTAGTGCTTGCTTACAAAAGCTTACTCGGATGATAGCTGGATATGGCATAGAGGACTTTCGCTCCTAAACTTCAAGGATATCAACAAGCTCATTCTTGGTGATCATATGCGAGAGCTTCTTCTCTTAAATTTTTTATTTATGTGCAACCTGAGAAATAGGGAAGCAAAGCAGGAAAAGTCATGCAACCACAGTGAAAACGAAAATCGTTGAACCACTGGAACTTCTACATGTTGACCTTTGTGGACCTTTTGCAATTGAAAGCGTTTGTGGTAGTAAGTTCATTCTCGTCATAGTTGATGAATTTTCACGTTTCACTTGGGTGTATTTTCTTAAAAAGAAATCTGAAGCTACTCCGAAACTCAAAGAATTCATAAATCAAATTGAGTTTCAACTGAGAAAGCTGGTTCGCAACGACAATGGCTTGGAATTAAAGAATCAAGGGAGTTTCGCACAATTTCTCTGCTCCCTATACTCCACAACAGAATGGTGTAGTTGAAAGGCGAAACCGTTATTTGTGTGAAGTTGCGAGGACTATGTTATCCTTCACATGTCTGCCTCTCTATTTCTGGGCGGATGCGATTGCAACTGCTTGCTATACTCAATATCGATCCATTCTGAATAAGCGATTCTCTATTACTCCCTATGAAATAATAAATAATCATAAACCTAATGTCAAGTTTTACCGTGTGTTTGGTTCTAGGTGTTTCATTTTCAACTCCAAGGAACAACGAAACAAGTTCGATGCGAAAGTTGACGAAGGTATTTTTCTGGGGTATTCGCTGACCTCCAAAGCATATAGGGTTCTCCACAAACAACCAAAGAAGATGGAAGAAATGTACTTTGTTACGTTCGATGATAACTACATGAAGAGGGTTCAAACGAAGGTGAGTAAAGTGGAGAAAATCTTCCTAAGCCAAGTCCAACTACTGTTCCAATCTCCACTCTATACGATGAATTCATGCTAATCTTTGATGAGCCAGAGAAGGCTATAACATCTGAAGCAAAAGCAACTGACAACAAGGTCGATTAATTGAAGAAGATAATTAATGAAGCTACGAAAGACATGGACCGAACGTGACTCAAGACACGAGCACTCCAGTATAGGGGGAGAATTCTAACTTCAATGCACATCCTTAGGGGAGCAACCGACTCCACAAGAAACAAATATTCCGTCACAGGGGGAGGTTCATACTTTGTCTCCTTCATCTGACCTAGATAATTCTCTACCCACCATGACTAACGAAGATACTTCAGTTCCTAATGAAGAGGACGGCTCGTCATTCGAGGGGGAGGATAAGGATGCGAATGACGATTCGGATAATAAGGATGTGAATGACGATCCGGATGTTTAATCAGAATTCGAAGAAGTAAACGCTGAATTGGAGCCTTCTTATGATCCAAATTATCCTCCACTAGTCGAATGGACCAGAGATCACCCCAAAACCCAAGTCATTAGTGAATCTTCTGCAGGCGTTCTTACGGGATCTCAGATAAAAGCGAAATGAACTGCATTATTGTCCAAAGTGGAATTATGTATGTTTAATTCATTCGTGTCCAAGATCAAACCCAAAACCATCAACACTGCTCTTGATCATTCTTATTGGGTGCAAGCGACGCAATACGAGCTCAATGAGTTCGAACGAAACGAAGTTTGGAGGTTAATTCCTACTCCACCTGGAGCATCAGTTGTTTGTTTAAAATAGGTTTTTTTAATAAGTTGGATAAAGAAGGGAATGTAATAAGAAACAAGGTAAGACTGATGGTTAAGGGTTACTTCCAGGAATATGGTATAAACTACGACAAAACATTCGAACCCGTTGCAAGGTTGGAATTAGTTCGTATATTCCTGGCATACACAACCCATAAGAACTTTGAAGTGTTTTAGATGGATGTTAAATGCACTTTCCTGAATGGTGAATTAGAAAAAATGGTATATGTTGAACAACCACCTGGGTTCATTAATGAGAAGTATCCTAATCACTGGTACATTTTGGATAAGTCAGTATACGGACTGAAGCAAGCTTCGAGATCCTGGTAGAAACTCTTACTCGTATCCTTAAAATGTCTAAACTTAAACAAGGTTCGGTTGACCCAACTTCGTAAGAAAGAGGGTGACCACTTGATTATTGTCCAAATTTATGTTGATGATATCATCTTTGGTTCTGCTAATGCCAACTTAACAATTGAATTATGAAAGTTGATAGAAACAAAATTTGAGACGAGCTTCATGGGTCATATTAACTTTTTCCTTAGATTGAATATATAAGACAGGGACCAGAAGGCATTATCATAAATCAGGAAGCATAAACGAATACCTTACTAACTAAGTTTGGCATGATAGGAGATTCTAAAGTGAAGGTTCCAATGGAATTCATAACGAAACTCACACCATATTTGGAGAAACCAGCTAGGGATATGACCCTTTATCAACAGATGATTGGTTCCTTGATGTATCTAACAGATAGTAGAACGGATATCATGTTTTTCGTTTGTTATTGTGTAATGTTCCACGCAAATCCTCGCGAACCTCACATGAAGGCAGTCAAGAATATTTTTAGATACCTAAAACGAACTTCATCTTTAGGCATATGGTATCCTGCGAATTCAGGTTTATTTGTTCAAGCGTTTTCAGATGCTGACCTTGGGGGATGTGGTTTAGATAGAAAGAGCACAACTGGTGGATGCCAATTTCTCGATGGTAAATTAGTTAGTTGGTAGCCCAAGAAACAAACAGGCGTATCATTATCAACAGCTGAGGCTGAATACATAGTTGCAGCTTCGTGCACATCTCAGGTTATTTGGATTCAAAGTCAACTTCGTGATTATAGCTTCAGTATGAAACCAATCCCTCTTTACGGTGACTCTGAAAGTGCAATTCGCATCTGTCACAACCCAGTGCAACACTCAAAGACAAAACACATAGTACTGAGGTACCATTTCGTCAAGGATGATGTAGAAGACGCCAATGTTGAAATTCATTTTGTTAGATCCTCAGATCAGTTCGCTGATATATTCATAAAGGCATTACCTGAAACAACCTTCAATGGTATCCTTCAAGGCCTTGTAATGATGGAAGCTGAATCTGTTCCAAAACAAGTTTTTCACATATAATGTTTGACACTGCGAATTGGTGCGAACGTGTGCAGTAGTTTTTATTCCACTGTTCATTCACAGTTTACTTTAACACTATGAATAGGTGCGAATGCTCGTAGTAGTTCGTAATCTACTATTCATTCATGGTTCATATTTTTCAGATATCCTTTGTATGTTATCTATATTGTTGCTTTCCTTTATTCCATTTTTAAACTTTTCTGTTTTTTTTTTTTAATTCTTTTTCACAAAATCAAAATAGACAAAAATATTTATTTGAGTCTGTTTTATTTATTTGTTTTTTGCAAAATACAAACTATCAAAAATACCTTAAAAAGATCATGGAGGCACGGATTTGTATCAAATCTCAATTCTTCTGAGAGGACAGGTATAACTCCTTTTATCTATGTATTAGCTAGGTGTCCCTAGAAGCATGTTGTTGCATGTTGTCCAAAGCCTCAATAGACTCTATGTGAAGCCTTAATGAATCGAATCTACCATTTGTTTCTTCCAAACTAGGTTGTCTAATTCAGATTAGTCACGAGCTACCTCACTCTTCTCATCGTGAGTTTAGAGTTATCTGCTTGGTCATATTCGCATAGCAGAGGTACATTTTCTTCTCTTGAACCACCTTCACTCTTCTCCATTTGCCTTCGTACTCATAAATGTAACCCTTAAGACTCTCAGCTGTACCATTAAGGTTTATGGTTACGAAACACCTGCGTTAATGATCTTAGCTTTGCTCACCACGAACTGAGTGAAACCCAAAATTCAACACACTTACATGCATTGACGGCGAACAACTAACTGTTCTATATTTTCACCATGAAATTAACGATAGCCACCTTCATGGTTTGTACCAAGAAATCTCTTTTTCCTGTTACGAGATCTTTATGAAGTATTCTTTCACCAAGTCACTTCTTCCCATAATATCCAGTTTTAATTTTTTTTTAGGATTTCACACTTTCGTCTAGTCACTAAAAGTAATTCCAAACCTACTCGTTCAATTGACTACACTGGTCACACGAGTACGTCATCTGACATTCATATTTATATTGAGTTTGTTGTTTGGTTGAAGAGTCAGCCACCCTATGAGCCAAAGTAAAAGATGCCTTTCAATGTTTCTTCACAAACATTTGATCGTATTTCAACGGGAAACCACCTAGGCACTTCTTAGTCTCTGTTGACTTCGAGGGAAGATATCTATGCCCGGGATACATAGTTTTGTGTGTTAAAATAGACATCACAAAATTTCCTAGATATACTTTGATTTATTTCTTTATCTTTGACACTCTTGCACGAAGGTCCTTGTGATCTTCAAAAAGTCTTGTTCGTGGTTCTTAATGTTACTTTCAGGTTTGCAGTGTAGCCCAAGTTTTCAAAAACTATGGTTCGTAATAGATGGGTCAAAGCATTTTTAACCACGAAAGGTGGATGGTGATGCGGCAATTTCTGATGATAAAAATTCAAAAGGGCGCGTGCAAAATTTTGAAAGGCTAGATGTTTTTCCGCTATATGATGCATGGGTCTGACATCTACAATTGTCAAGTCTCACTTTTCAGGAGACGTTTCAGTACCCGATGCATTCTCTCTCTGGATTTTACTCACAAATCGAATGGTATATAATGTTTTTGATGGTTCCTCTCTCATTATCACTTTCAAAATCCTCTCAAAAGATTTCAAGTGATCAAAATCTTGAACTATTCATCTTCTTCTTCAAGCTTCAAAAATGGCGACTTCATCATCAGCTCACAATCAAACCGTTCATTCTACTCTTCTGTCTGTAAAACCCAACCGGAATCTGATCATTGATCTAGAGCCCTGCAAATATAAGCCCTATCGTCTTCCGATTGTGGAATATCTTAAATATTCTCTACTGGTTCTCGCTCTAACAAAGATGGGGGATGTTCTGATGTCCCTACTATCCTAGGCATATTCTTCAGCAAGCTACATCAAGGAGGAAAACAAAATTATCTTCGACATTCACGATCAGAAAACATCAATCACGAAATCCATATTTTTTCACTCCTAGGGCTTCCTCAATCATAAGACATGATCAACCCTAAATCAATCTCCAATGTTGCTCTCTTGGAGATGTTCTATCATATAAGGTACAAGGAGACTCTATCGACTCTCTCAAAATTCTATAAACCAAATCTACCCCCACAATGGAATGCCTTGTTTACTCTTTTGTTCAAAGGTTTCTCTAAGAGGATAAAAGGACCATACTATGCTAGTAAGTTGTTCTTGACCCTTCTCTATGGCATCTATACAGGATTAAATTTGGATTTGGAGTGGTTCTCTGGGCCCAGGTGATACAGAGCACTCTTTTAACAACTTGTCACACTGAAATATCATGTCCACGATTCTGGTACCTAATTTTTCGAAGGGCTATTGTCAAGCATAACGTTCTGGTGATTAAAGATGCTCTTGCTTCCTCTATTTCAACTTTTCATACAACAGGTATAATCATTGCAGATAACTCCAAATTTTCCTTCATTGGAACCATACCAGAGGTTATGTTTCGTGATATCCCAGATTCAAGCAAAATTTTCAAAGCTTTCGCAAACTAACTCCTTCGGGGTTTTGTCCATTGACTTTAGAAATGCAAGAAACCATTGATGATGCGGATAAACCCAATAAAGGGGGAAGGGTTCTAAGAAAGGTGAGAAGAAAACTGCTACTAAGGAAGGTCCTTCTGGTGCTGCGCAACCTTCACCTAAAAAGTGAAAGGTTGTAACAGCTTCTTCTAGGGCTGCTCCTAAAAGGCGAAAGCAGCCAGCTCGTAAATGAAAGTCTCCCACCCACAGTGACAACAAAGATTCAGACTTTAATACTTAATCAAATATTTGAATTGAGGACAGCCAACCAATTCGCAATGAGGAGGAAGAACCCATTCACAATGAGGAAGTTCAAAATAAGAAGGTTCGCAATGAGGAGGGTGACAACACTCAGACTGAAGAACCGAATCCTAATCTAGAGGTAACTCAATCTTTTAATGATTATGTTCCTTCTCCTCCTCCATCACCTACAACTTTTTCTATTCCAATCATAATTGCTTCATGCCCTCCACCTTTTTCTTCATCAACGTAAACAAGTATTACTCTTTCTAATGCAATCTTCACTAATTCCACAATCCCACCCAACACTTCATCCAACCCTCTTAACCGAGATGACCAAGATATTATCTTTGGTGATGACAAAGATGAAGATCTTGGGGGGTTTACTTACAGTCCTTTTCAGATCAGAACTGAGAGTGAAGAGAAGGTGCACGTTACGAAAGGGCAACTTCAGTCTCTTCATGAGAATATTGATCAACTGATTCTCTCATCAAAGTCTTCATCTTCTGATGCATACGCTAAAGCTGTCATAGAGTCTCTTTTTGAAATGCTCAAGAAGGACCATTCAACCACCATTGAAGCCTCGAATAAAGCAGTTGCTGATTTTTATGAAATCTGCAAATCTACGACCGAAAGAGTCAATAAACTAATTGCTGCTACTACAACTTCCATGGAGAACTTTCAAACAACTTTTAACTCCAATACCACTACAGCCAATGAAGCTCTGGAGAGTCTGGAATCTCTTCAAAACTGAGAAGGCTAAACTGCATGAGATTCGTGCTGATCTGAAAACTGACCATGAATATTTTCAATCCAATATCTCCTCTCAGGTTTCACAACTCAAAGATACCCTGGCAACAAAGAGTAACCTTAAGGCCTCTCTATCAGTCAAGAATGAAGAGGCAAGCGTGTTACGTGCCAAACTGGAAGCTTCAGAGAAAAATGTCAATGATTTCTTATTTGAAAGGGCTCTCATGCGAAGCTGCATTACTGATGTCACAAGTATGCTCTCAAATATCCTTGAGACCAGGGATTCGATGCTCACCATCTCAGTTCGCAAGTATCTATTTGAAAAAGTGAGACCAGTTTTTGCATTGCTTCACCGGTTAGAAGGTGTTCGGGAATCTGGCTTCATTCCGAAACAAGGGGGAGAAGGGATTTCAAAGAAAACTGATCCAAAAATGTCAAGAAACGAGCCTCCCAAATATCTAGTTAAACCAATTGTTAAGAAGGTGTCGGATTAGATGTCTAAGCCCATAACTATTATTAGTATGTACTTGACCCGAGAGTAGCATGGTCCATTTGGGTTGCGTATCATCAGGATAATTTGTTAGGATGGATTCTAGAGAGAAGGTTATATATATGATTTATTAATATATTATAAGTTATAATATATTAATATGAAATCATATGTTTTAATTATTATTGATCAAGAATTAATTTGGAATTAATTTTGTGATCAAAAGAGACTAATTGAATCTATACGGACTAATTATGGAAATTAGTTATATTTATATGTGTTGGGCTTATGATATATGTTAGACCAATTTTATGTATGGATACATAAAGTGTTGGGCCACATGAACCATGGATCATAACACCCATGGGTATGGGTTTGGTTTAACCCATGACCTTTGGAATTCCACATATAAATATTTTACTTCATAGCCAAAATCACCACTAATGTATTCTTGGAGGATATGGACCATTTTGGTGTGTATGAATTCTCTCTCAAGTTTCATGCTTTGTCCATGATGTGTTGTGACTTAATTTGAGGCTTTTACACTATTGGGGCTAAGCTCTTAAGGCCAAATACATCAAAACTTCAACCTATAAAAAAGGTATGTTACCCTAACTAGTATCTTATATGGTTTATGTCAAATGCATGCTAGTTATAGGTTTAATGCCTTGGAAACCATTTACATGTATAATTTGTGAGAACATAGATCCAACGTATTTAGGGTTGTATATCCAGCATAGGATGTTGTAGTATATAAAACCCATCAAAGGGACCCTAAGAGTAAGGAAAACCTGATTGAAAACAAGTCCATTATTGACAATGATTAAGACAAAGAGCCTGATGAAGCTGAACTTAAACCATGGAAGGCTCGTCATGTCGAGTTAGATGAAAACCAATGGATCTTCTGAGAGGCGGAAGAAAAAGAAAAAGCTGAGAAAGAGGCTAAAGCCACTCTTCAAAGCAAGTAGCTTATGTTTCCTAAATGGAACATGAACTGAATCCAGAATGATTCAATCGATCTTCCTAGTCAGTATTGGTTAGAGCCAACTGTGTCTTTTGAACTTCAAAATACACAAGATTCGTAGTTGGATCTACCCATATCTCCGACGGCTTTTAGGTTCCGTGCATTCATGAAATTTGCGAACTTTCCTCTCTCAGAGAGCAGTGCTGATAAAATGTTGTTTGCGTTTTATCTGAAGCACATGAAACCTGAATACGAGACCTAGTCCTCGAGCGGGATCATTGGTGTGAAGGGAATTGGATCGCTTGCGACTAACAACTTTCCGAATGCCAAATTCAAAGTCACAAGAGGTTCTACTAGTCAAGTCTACGAGTTTTCTCTCACAGATTTACCATGTCTTAATCCCAACGATTGATTCGTTCTTTACAACATGCTGCTGAAAGAAAATGAGAAATACGAACCCATCATGTCCCATCTCCAAATAATGATCAAGTCCTACATTCAAGAGATTGGAGAAATGGATGTAGAGGTTGCAGCTATGTTGAGAAAGAAGCCTTCTGTTGTTCTCAAGGAATCTCCAACAGATTT